TCTCTCTCATGCAAATGTAGAAACATATCACAGAGTAGAGAGCATACCAGGAGTTATGGAACCCTTCGGGAGTGAAACAAGGAGAATTGTGGCAGTGAATAAGGTGACAGTCTGTAGTAGTTCCACTCTTAAAAGCAACCACTCCATGACAGCATTTGTATAAAAGAAGACCCTTGCATCTGTATCTATAAGAATCAGATTTCGCTGGATGAACCTTTCCATGACTGAAAATGCTCTTATTGTAACCACACCCAAAGACGTCTCTGCTGCACAGTTCATAACAGGTGCCTTTGTTGTACCATTAAGCCTTACTAGTTCTCTTGCAGATGATAGGTAGTACCTCTTCATTAGCAAAAATAAAAAGCTTAGTATAGATTTTGCAAAATTAAAAAGCTTAGCTATGTACAAATAAAAATTTTCACTTCATCAACTAAGGACCAGTGTTTCCAAACTCGCCTCAGGCCAGGTACTCAGTCCTAGCCCGAGGCGAGTTACTCAGGTGAGTCCAAGCAACCAAGTACTGTACACGGCCAAAAATCCATGAAAAAAAAAGAAAAGAAAAAGATTACAAGTAAATAATCCCCAAAAAAAAAGGAAAATAAAAAATGGGGAATATAGCAAAAACAATCTCACCAAACTTTGCCAATAGAGATCCAAATCATATATAAACATTTAGTAAGGGAATCCCATATTTTTCTATATTTTTTGGGGTTATTTTTAAATATTTTTATGCACCCCGAGTTGTACATAAACTCGGGCCAATTCAGTTTCAGCCATAACTAGGCCAAGTCTCAAGTGAACTCAGCCAAGTCTTCAGTTGACTTGGCCTAGTCTTGAAACTATGCTGAAGACTGCCCAATAAGAAATCTCAAAATTAAGCTTTACCGAATTGACATATATGATAAATTGATTTTCCAAATATATACTAAGTAAATCCAAGTTAAATTGAGATTTAGATTGGGCAATAAGAAAACTCAAAATTCAACTTTCCCAAAAATAAGTTTCAAGCAACTAACAGCTTGATGATATTTTCATTCTGCTAGTGAGTTCAGGAATCAAACCAGCAAACCTAGGTATAATAAAATAAGCTCCAAACAATTTTTCTGTAATGTTAATCTTGCATTGGTTTGGTTTTCTCGATAGACGATGTTTATTCATCACTAATTCTATACCTATCTCACTTCCCCCCACACATTAATGCTTGGATGGCCATCGAAAATCCAAGATACCCGCTCACAAAAAGAAAAGAGGAAAATTAAGAGGGGGGGGGGCGAGAGAGAGAGAGAGAGAGAGAGAGAGATTACTTGAAGATAGTATGTAAGTAACATGACGGGAATAGCCACGACCAGAACTTGCCATGTCACAATACACATTATGATAAGTACCGATATCAGCTCAAGCAAAGTGCACACAGAGAAACCAATGGCATATGGTATGTCAAAGTCTAGTAAGCTCATGTCCGAGGATGCCTGCAAAGTCAAGGAGATTATTTTTCTGCAATTAATTATTTACTACGAAACTAGCCAGATTATCGATTAGATCACAAAATCAAAAGACATGCACACACGCTCACACACACAAAACAACAATTCACAAGGTCAGGGACTCCTTACCCGTGTTAATATCCTCCCAATAGGTGTGGAGTCAAAGAATAGCATGGGAGCTTTAAACACCGAGTCCATGAAACCAGAGAAAAAGGCCCTTGAGGCCCGTAATCCTAGATGTGTTGTGAACCAAGATCTGAAGTAAACAAAGACAATGCTCAAACTGGACAGCCCAGTGTATACTCCAATTAAAATTACATTTGTAATCTGGGGAAGAATACCAGCTACTGCCAGCCAGTAAGTGGCTATGGACTGTAATAGAAGAAAACCACTTTGAAGAAGTATAACAAGAAAAATAAGAATAGAACCCTTGGCAACTCTTATATAATATATATAAGGCTTCCACCCCACATCTCCAATCTCCTTCTCTTCTTCATTGGTCAGTTGGATAGTTGAGCATGCACTAGTTTTAATTTCCACTTCACTGTTTCCTCGTGAAGTTGGGAAGAAATTGGGTGGGTCCAATCCTTGCTTATGTGTTTCAAGCAAATCTTGTTTATTTGGATTTTCTAAGGCTGTCATGGCTTCTTGATGAGCATTTACAAGCAGTTCGAAAGCCATCCCTTTCCTCAGGAGATCATTGTAGCTTCCAGACTGTGTGATTCTTCCACCTTCCAAAACCTTATGGCAGTTTGAAAATCAATAAAGTATACTTGCAGAGCTTGGAATATAGTTACTAGTAAATGCAATTTTTTATATTCAAAGTTGACAAACTTAATAGTAAATCTAAGCCATGACATCATAACTAAGGAAAGTCTCAAACACAATAGTCAATTTTAACTGATGAAATTCTAGTCATAAATTATGGGATAGACTTGTTAATACTTAAATATTGCATTTTATTAAATTACCATAAGAAAACTCTTGAAAACATTTACTAGTAAAATTAGAGTGATAAGGAATGAAAGATTACCATAATTTCATCAACTTCTGCCAGGAACTCGACTTGGTGAGTCACGAGAATCACAGTTTTCTTTTCCAAGGCCTTTTTGACGCAATCCTGCAGTAGCTTATGTGACTTATACAAATACCACCACATGTAACAAATGAAAGAAGAGAAGATTGTACTCTATAATGCAATAACTCAAGAAGGCCCTAATCCATTGGGGGTAATCACCTTCAAATGAAATGATACAGTTATAGAGAGAGAGTGGAAATCACAATTGGTATCATGTCCTCCTTTGTTTTATCCCATTCTCTCCATAAGCATTTATCAATTCATTTGATGTTGATCACCCTAAAGGAATATGTCTATGAGTATATAGTTCATCTATTATGTTATATTTGACCGGTTTGATATGGCATGATCATTATTTGTACCTAATTGCAAAAGTTTTTTAATGAAAAGAAGCACATGTATGGATCATTATAAACCCAAAGACTCCACCAAATAAAAAATAAAGGAATACTTGTCGCTGAGGGAACTGGTTTTCTTACGTTGAAAAGGATCGCCGCAGTGTGGGCATCGACTGCACTGAAAGGATCATCAAGAAGGTAGATATCAGAATCGTTATACACTGCTCTGGCAAGCTGAATCCTTTGTTTCTGACCCCCACTCAAGTTGAGTCCTCTCTCTCCAATCTCTGTGAGGTCGCCATGATCAAAATTTTCAAGATCCTTATCCAAAGCACAGGCTCTTATGGCATTCTCATAACTGGTCTTATTCATTGGCTTCCCATAGAGTATATTATCGCGGATAGTCCCACTTTGTATCCAAGCTGTTTGAGCAACATAAGCAATAGATCCATAGACCTCAACCTACAATTTTACACAAAAAACACAGTCCGTAATTCAAGTCTATAGAGGGAAACAGCCAAATGGTCAATATAATATCAATTGGAGCTTATCATTTATTTTTACTGATAAGCTTATCAAAGATAATGAAAACCATTATGTATGGTTACCACACAGTGTTTTAAACCCGGATCAGTGGGGTGGATCATCCATCTAACAAATGTGTCAAACCGCCAGACTGCCAATCTAGATAGGTACGAATCGGCTATCCAGAAAAATACTAGAAAAAGTATAACAAAATAATAAAATAGGGTTTTTTTTTTTTGGTGGGTGGGTTTGGTGGGGGGGAAGCAAACCAGTACTGATACTTCTCCCTAACCAGTTCGGTCCCTCCAATTCCTTATCAGGATTAGCAATTCCCGATCTGGATCAGTGGGATCTAAACCCTTGGCACCACATCATGCAAATGCTTAAGACTTTCCAGATGATTCCTTTACCCAGGCACAGTGATTATCCCAAGCTGCATGTGCATCGGGTTTATCTACCCATGGTGTCTTGTGGAGTTTGGGATTTTCTATCTTGCACCGGTCTAATGTTGAACTTAGAGAACATGTTCACATTTTTTGACAAGAAAGGCCATTTATAATGCATCATAGCACAATTTGAGTTAAAGCTACTCAAAGCACATGGATGTCAGCATCTATGTCCAAAAGGTAGAATGCACTTCCTAAATTCAGCATTAGAAGGGCTTAAACTATGGTACACGGACTCTTGAAGTTGGTAGCTTTTTTCCTCAAGTTAGTGACAAGAAATGAATCGGAATATCTATCCCACAAAAGCAAGTATATGGCTATCAAATTGTTTAGTATCATTGAAAACAAATAGCAATGTATATTACTTGAGAAACTATCCCCACAAGATATGCTAGGATTGCCAACCAAATAAATGATTTGACAAATAAACACTGTATACCATTGCATAAAACTTTATTCATGAACAACATATTGCTTATAAAGAAAAACCAAAGGAAAAGTTTTTAAAGGCTTACCACTCCAGCTATCTTGGGTATTTCTCCAAGTATTGCATATAGAAGTGCAGACTTCCCGGCACCAACAGATCCACAAACAGCAATCTTCTGCCCTCTCATGACCTCAAAATTAATGCCTTTTAATGTAGGATTAGCAGCCTCTGGATCCCAACTAAAAATTCCCCCTTGTATCTTCAAATGGTAGTTAGAACTCTGAACTGGGTGCCCCCTAACACCCACTACTCTAAGTTCATCATCTAGTAAGAAGCGGTTGAGTCGATCCAATGAGACCTTAACTTGAATTAAGAGAGAAAAAGACTCGGGAAGCATTCTCAAGGGCTCCGACATAATCCTAACAGTTGCTAAAACAGTGAAAATAGTGCTAACATTCAATGGCGCTGACCCCAGTAAAACACAGCCTGTAAATACCACAGCTGAAACAAGCATAGGCACCATCCAATACAAAATAACGCCAAAAGTTTTCTTGATTTGAGCTGAAGCCAACCACTTGAATTCTTCACCCCTTAGAGACTCAATTAGGCCCCTGAACTTATCCTCCCAAGCTTGCAATTTGATTATTTTCATGTTGTTTAAGACCTCAGAAGTGGCTCTCAACCTTTCATCTTGGGCTTGCATGAAGTGGGATTGGCAGTTTTTGAGTATCTTAGCAATGGGTATGTTTAGTAGAGAAAGAATGAAGATTGGAACCAAGCCAGGAAGTGCCCCCCAACCCACAGTTTGAAAGAGAATCAACAATGCAAAGAACAGTTGGAGAAGTGAACTCCAAGCCATGTGGAACCACCATGGAAATTCACCAAGTCTATAAGCATCCACTGAAATATAATTCACTACTTCCCCTGTTGAATGTCTCCTCCTACCCAAGCTAGAGAGCTTAAGCTGTTTTCGGAGAACAGCAGCCATTAAAGCTGATCTCATCCTCATACCCACCCTTCTCGAATTGAAAAACCAATGTCTTTGCGAAAGAGACTCAACCAATTTCACCAAAACTAGGCCTCCTACTAAGTAGTACTTGTCATAAGGATGATGCTTCTCTTCACTCATGAATTCCACAAAGGCATAGAGTAAGAGGGGCGAAGCTGAAGTAGTGGTGGCTCGAAGAAAGGCATAGAATCCAATTACCAACATCTCTCTAGTATAACAGGTAGCTAACACTCTGAAGACTGAATTCTCGGTGTTTTTCCCTTTCTTATGAGACTCCCATGACTTAGCAAAGGCCTCATATGCTAGAATAGCTTCATCTTCTGATTCTAGAGGGGGAACATCTTCAAGAGCTAAAGGTTTCGAGTAGCCTAAACGTAGCAGAGGATCGACCCAAGAAAATGTTAGCCAGCTTAAAAAGCCAATTCCACCACTTGGGTTTGTTTCTTTTTGGTCATTTTTGCTCAGTAGAGATTGTGATAAGCTCTGGTCTACTGTTTTATGAGAGAGAAAGTGCCTGATGAGCTTCGAAGCACAAATGAGAATCAAAAAGTTTATAGGCCACGAAACCAATTCCAAGACTGGAATTCTCTGTCTTTTCGCCAAGAGCATCAGGTTTAGAGCCGAAACAAGAAGAGAGAAACAGACCCACCAAACCAAACTCAGAATTCTCGCCCATTTAAGCCTCTGAATGCAGAGAGAGAGTGCTAAAACCACCCAAACCAATCCTCTCAATAATAAAACAACCCAATTCAAATTCATGGGTGCATTGTTTTTCCATACCAAAGGCCATAACGCGAAGACAAAATAAGCAATGGCTATAATAGAGCATAGTGCTGAAACCACTACGAAGAAGGGAGATTTGGGTACATCCCCATGGATTGATCGCCTTTGAAAAATTGAAAACAACCAAATTAGAGAGAGAACAGTGACAAACAAGAGATTTATACCATCTGTTACACCTCTGTAAATACAGGTTGAACCAGTATCTAGTTCGACGGCACATTTCCATGAAAGCTCACCTGAAAATTTCAGAATAAATAGAAAAGCAAGTTATGCAAAGATCGAAACAAGGCAAACATAAAACAGAGCAGATATTCATCGAGAGCAGGCATATCAAACGAAATTGAGGGAGACAAAAATTAAGATTGTGTCAATAAGGGATTGATAAAATAAAGAAAACGCCGGATCAAATGAGCACTCCAAAACTTGTAAAGAGAGAGAAGGCGGTGGGAAAGAGTTAGAAGGGATTAAATCAATGAAAATGCAGATAACAAACACATGCTCTGAGTGAGAGAGAGAGAGAGTGAGAGAGAGAGTATTGATTGAACGACTAAAATGCAGAAAAGAATACATTACCAAACTGCAAGACAAGTGACCCAACACAGGCAAAGAGAGAGACCCCAACTGTATGGTTTTCAAAATTTTAAACTCCAGGAAATATCAGCATAGATAATTGCTTATTATGGTCCACATGACATAAAAGAGAGAGAGAGAGAGGCCACATGTGGGACCTATCTGATGGAAGAAAAACCAAGTTTTCTAAAAGGGTGAGGTTTGGAAATGGGCGCACCTCCACACTAAGTCATAAAATGCAATTTTGGTGTCTAAAACTTTTAGGACAGCCATAGAATCTATTTTCATCTTTAATTATAAAATTTTAAACTAAAAAATGATTTAAATCAAGTAAATTCAATGTTATCGTATTCTCTTCACTTCAGCCAAACAGGCCAAAGTCTTTGGATTTTTGGCATAGACCAAAAGCGAAGTGAAGCTCCAATGCATCGGCCTCAGTATGATTCGGCCTATTCAGCTGAAGCACATAATTGTCTTTTAAGAAGACTTCTGTTTGCTTTGGTCTGATTGGCCTCTTCAGCCCAAGCACAAAATTGTCTTCTTTTTTTTTTATTTTCGTTGAATTTTTTATTTTTAAAATTTATTATTTTAATATATTTTATATACTTTATTTATATTAAAAAATTTAAAAATTTTGAGGTCTTCCTCGGAATTGATCAAAGTACCAAATTACTTTATTTCTCTGACTAGCTCCAAAGCGAATCTGACAACACACCCATAAATGCATGAAAATCTTGAAAATGGATAGTCCAGATAATGTATTGCAAGATACACTATTTTTAATACTTGAAATCATTTTCTTTTTTTCCATATCCATACATGTTTATAACGAGCTGATCAATTCAATAGTTTTCCAGCTGTAAAACCGCATTTTCCTATGATTTTTGAGATGCACCTTAATTCAACAAGTCAAGGTATCAACCTTGTATAACTTTTTCCTTTAAAAAGAGACAGAAAGAGAGATTTTCTTAAAAAGGTATTTTGGTCCATAAAAAGTCAACTTTTTGCTTCTTTTTTTTTTTCTTTTTTATGGGTGGGGGTGTGGATACAAAAATATAAAGTGTTGGGGTTACTAGTGTGTATCAAAATCATTGGAGGTGGGGGAAGGCACATGCATTCCTAAAAGTAGAAGAAAAAAATTGAAATTCAAGTTTTCTAACACTTAGATCTCACACTCTAAAAATTGGATGGTTCTCTTCACTCTTGAGACATTATTTTTTTTTTCACGGGCGCAGAAGGTGCAATTCGGATAAATTTTTTTTGTTGAGGTTAGTTAATCTATGGGTTGAACATGTTATATCTCCAAAGCTTGGGGTCCTAAAATTATTCCAAGGTAAGTAGATGGACAGTATTACCCCCAAGGGAGTATAATATCCTTTGGCCAGGGTTTTTATATTGAATCATTGCATATACACATCAGTCATTTATTGTCCAACATCATCGTCCTCTAAGATGGATGCTGGTGATGGATGGCAGTTTAGATGTATGTCCGCTAATTTACAAGGGTACTACAATTAATCTCCACCATCCATCCTTCATAATGGACGTCAAATGACCCTCTAGTAGATCTACCAACTGTACAGCATATGGTAGATGATGCGAAATCCTGATTATGGATCCTATGATGGGTGTACGATGTGGAATACTGTACTCTAGATGCAAAAATAAGAATTTCGTTAACAGGAAGCAAGCGCCTAGAAACGATATAACCCATAAGAAAAGATATAACCCATAAAGAAATCACATGTGATCCTTTGGGATCACGTGACCTGTAATTTGATCCTTTTTTTACTCCAGAGGTGCTGACTAGTGCAAATGATTCACTAGTTATGAAAAAGGGTGAGGTTTTTATGAGTCATCTCCCCCTTCTCAAATCCATTTTAAAGATAGATTTTTTAACTAGTTTTTCATAAATTCATCATCTAGCCAAGGTGATCATCAATATGAAAAGAAAAATAAAATTTTTAAATTAAAAATATATTTTTGGCATAGTTTTGACAACTGTCCATACATTACTTATGTACTTATGTTGCACAACGTCGATCTTTAGGATGGACGTTTGCCAATGAGCGGGCTCTTACGCCTTCTAAACGGCTGACCCACACTATACTTTTCCTTATAAAAATATTACAATCAGGAAAATTGTTTCATGAGTCAGGGGACACATTTCTACACAGGCGTCCCCTGAGGTAAAATGCAATAAAAGCAACTGAAATTAACGTCTCAATCTTTTGTTTATAAAATTATTATTTTTTATTTTTAAATTTTATTTATTTTTCATATTCATGATCTCCATATTAGAGAATATATGTCCCTAAAAATTGGGTCAAAAAATCCATTGCATAAATAGATTTTTAAGAGAGGACTCATTTCTACATGATCTCATAATAATCATGTCTTTGCAATCATGATGTTCATTAATGGAGAAATTTATGTTGGGACCAAAAAAAAGATACACTATAATTGCATGGTCCTAAAGATTTAAAACAATGGAATAGTGACCTGGATCGGCCATCCAAAAAAAGTGATCTAGTTCGACGGATCGGTGGTTAGGATCAACGATCCACCAAAGTGTACCACCCATAAGAAATTAAAAAAATAAAAAATTAAAAATAAATGTGAGACGAGTTCTGGCTGATTCTCTGAACCAACCAATTCATAGAGGGAAGCAACCAGTTCCCAATATGTTATAAGAACTAGGATGACCTAACTGATTCTCAATCTGGATCAGTTGGTTTCGATCTAGACTTTTTTAAAAAAAACCTTGGTTCATATTTCATGGCTAGATTTCTTTTTTTTTCCTTTTCTGGGTATTCCCATTCTACCTTCTGGAACTGGCCCCCCAAAAAAATAAAAAAATGTGTAGGGTGATTTTGAGGGCTTTAAAAGTCTAAACTTTGAACCTCCCGGAACACAAAAAAATGATGTATTTAGGCGATTTGAGATTCCAACTATCAAACGAACTAAAATAGAAATGAAGAATACCAAGTGTTTTAGAAACATGAAACTCTTAACTTCCAAACCACCCAAATCCCTTTGTTTTTTAGTTTTATCAAATTATATATAAGAGATAAAATATTCAACATTTTACACATATGTAACTATTCTTACTCTTGATCACATGTCTTTTGATGGGTATCAAACAAATGGGTTAAATGCTAAATAGTTCATATCTCATGAACGATGCTAAATATTTCCTTATTTTTCATATGGAAAAGTTTATATAAAGTGTCAACCTTATACTATAAGAGTAAGATGCACTCTAAAAACCCCATTAGAGTAAGGTGCACCTAAAAAGCCTACTAGAGAAGAAACCCTCAAATCCATCATCACGACCTCCATATTCTTGGACATGAAAAAAGTGGATCTCTAGTCCTAAACATAGTTCATCTTCTAGCACATTATCTGGACCATTCATTTTTAAAAGTGGATCTCTAGTCCTAAACATAGTTCATCTTCTAGCACATTATCTGGACCATTCATTTTTTAAATTTTTCAAATGTTTTTAGATGTGCTTGATCATTACCATTTGAAACTTTTAATTTTATAATTACTAGGGAAGGCACATGACAAATGGAGAGAGGAGAAATGTAATGCATCATTTTACTGTGGGTGAGGTTTGTACAAGGTACCCTTTTAAGGTTATACGGTAGAAGTAATGTGCATCTCTAAATTTTATTGGAGACATATTTACTTGGTTAAAAATTTTGTAATTACACGATAATCGATTTTTATTCTTATTTATAAAATAAAAAATTAAAAAGCGAATTGAACATATCTATAAACACTAAAAAAAATCTTGAAATAGACTTCCCAAATAATTTGTTGCAAAATATAATATTTTTAAAACTTAAAATTATTTTTTATTTATTATTATCAATAAAGCACAATGATCAAATTAAAAGGTTTTCAAACATCGAAACACTATTTTATATCACTATTTTATAAAAGAATATTGGGGTGCATCTTGCTTGCTTTAATAGTATAAGGTAAGGTGGACAAACCTTACATCGTAGAGACACGAGAGAGAGAGAGTGTGTCTTTAAAGGGTAAAAGCACAAAAAGTTTATATAAGATTGCAACCTTAAACCGTAGAATTACGGTATGCACCTCAAAAATCTATCGTAAAATATTGTTTTAATATTGAAAAATCATCTTGATATTGAGATGTATGAATATCAAAAGAAAAACGATTTGGTGCCATAAAAAATATTGTTTTAATATTGAAAAACTCTCCAATTGATCATCTTGATATTGAGATGTATGAATATCAAAAGAAAAACGATTTGGTGCCATAAAAAATAGTGCATTTTGTAACACATTATCTAGACCGTCCATGTTCAAGATTTTTATATATTTCTAGATCTCCTTGATTTTAACCATTTTTGAAGTTTAAAATTTTATAATTAGATATGAAAATAGATTTTAAGACAATCCTAATCCTTTTTACACCAACATTACACATTATAATAAAATTTGAAGGTGCGCTTTAATTGGATTGTTTAAGGTTGCAACCTTATATAGAAATCACACCCAAAAGGATTTTTTTAAGGAAAAGTGTTTCTACCCTTTTGTGAACTCTCTCTCTCTCTCTCTCTAAACCGTCGTTTTCTGAAAAACAGTGGTGTAGAGAAATAGCAGAACCTCAATGCAGAAACATTAACTCACACACAAACACAAACAAAACACAGATGTGTGGCATTTCTAAAGAGAGAGAAAGATTAATCGTGGGTAAAAACATTTTGAATGGAATGTCCTAAAAAGAGGATCAAATTATTCTACATAATTAAGTTTCAATAAATATGAAACAGCTATCAAACAAGTTGCACATAAAGGATCAACACAACAAAAAAAATTTAATGCAAAAGTTATAAGAAAAAATTTCACCACAGAAGCAGCAGGAAACAGGCCAAGAATCCAAATCCAAAAACCTCTCATAGAGCATCAGAAATCTGAAGAAATAACATGCACAGAAGAACTAACTGCCTGCAGGAGAGAGAGAAGGAAGAAACCAAGAGTGAACTTTGTGTCAGAGAGAAAGAGAGAGAGGCACTAGAAACATGACCCAACCTCTTTGGGCAGGTCTATCACAGAGAACGAGAGAGAGAGACAGAAGGAAGAAACCATGACTGAACTTCATGTCAGAGAGAGAGAGAGGCACCAGATACATGACCCAACCTCTTTGGCAGGTGTATCAGAGAGAAAGAGAGAGAGAGAAGGAAGAAACCATGACTGAACTTCATATCAGAGAAAAAGAGGCACCAGATACATGACCCAGCGTCTTTGGCAGGTGTATCAGAGAGAAAGATACTGAAAGAGAGAGCGATAAAGAGAGGGAGGCACAGGAAAAAGAGAGAGAGAGGGAGGCACAGGAAACAAGATCAAACGTTGTTGGCTGAATGCATGAGAGAGAGAGGCACATAAATCAATACGCATGTACACTCCCAACAAAACTTAAACAATCAGAACAAAACTTGAACAATCACAGAAGCTCCATCCAAAAAATAACTGAAAATCAGAACAACCTTTGAAGAACATCATTAAAAATCACAGAAACAAAATAGAGAGAGAAAGAGTTACAGAGAGAGAGTACCTTGGACTTGGAGATTGCAGACGAGGGCCATATTCCGAGGTAGTGTGAAGCGAAATACGTGGGCGAGTATAAATAGCCATGCGGCAGCTGGATGCCATGTCCAGTCAAATCATAATCACAGGCTTTTGGCGACCTTCCTTCCTCTTTTACACGGGTGCGGTTTGTACATAGCCGAGGCACTAACAATCCAATTAGAGCCTACCTTACCTTTAATAGTATCGGCTGTCATAAACAATCAAATTAGAGCCTACCTTACCTTTAATACTATCGGCTCCCTAGTGAGTCAAATGATGAAAATACAATTGGTTGTTCAATGTTATCAACATAAAATATGCATTTAAATTGAAATACTGAACAATTGGGATATTTTTATAATTCGGAAGTTTTATGTTACTGACCTTGAATAATGAGGGGTATCTGTAGTATTTTCTCAGGAGAATTACCAAAATACTCTTAATTTTTCTAATTCCCAATCTTACATAAGAGGAATTTGGTCATTTCTATTATTTTTTGATAGGTCCACATGACATAAAAGGGAGAGAGAGAGGCCACATGTGGGACCTGATGGAAGAAAAACCAAGTTTTCTAAAAGGGTGAGGTTTGGAAATGGGCGCACCTCCACACTAAGTCATAAAATGCAATATTGGTGTCTAAAACTTTTAGGACAGCCATAAAATCTATTTTCATATTTAATTATAAAAATTTAGACTAAAAAATGATTTAAATCAAGTAAATCCAATGTTATCGTATTCTCTTCAGTTCAGCCAAACAGGCCAAAGTCTTTGGATTTTTGGCATAGACTCAAAGCGAAGTGAAGCTCCAATGCATCAGCTTCAGTATGATTCGGCCTATTCAGCTGAAGCACATAATTGTCTTTTAAGAAGACTTATGTCTGCTTTGGTCTGATTGGCCTCTTCAGCCCAAGCACAAAATTGCCTTTTTCTTCTTTTATTTTCGTTGAATTTTTTATTTTAAAAATTTATTATTTTAACATATTTTATATACTTTATTTATATTAAAAAATTTAAAAATTTTGACGTCTTCTTCCGAATTGACCAAAAGTACCAAATTACTTTATTTTTCGGACTAGCTCCAAAGCGAATCTGACAACACACCCATAAATGTATGAAAATCTTGAAAATGGATAGTCCAGATAATGCATTGTAAGATACACTATTTTTGGGACTTGAAATCATTTTTTTTTTTCTATATCCATAAATCTTGATAACGAGCTGATCAATTCAATAGTTTTCCAATTGCAAAACCGCATTTTCCTATGATTTTTGAGATGCACTTTAATTCAACAAGTCAAGGTGTCAACCTTGTATAACTTTTTCCTTTAGGGAGAGACAGAAAGAGAGATTTTCTTAAAAGGGTATTTTGGTCTATAAAAAATCAACTTTTCGCTCTTTTTTTTTCTATTTTTTTTTTTTTATGGGTGGGGGTGTGGATACAAAAATATAGAGTGTTGAGGTTACTAGGGTGTATGAAAAGCATTGGAGGTGGGGGAAGGCACATGCATTCCTAAAAGTAGAAGAAAAAAATTGAAATTTAAGTTTTCTAACACTTAGATCTCACACTCTAAAAATTGGATGGTTTCTATTCAATCTTGAGACATTATTTTATTTTCATGTGTGCAGAGGGTGCAATTCGGATAAAAATTTTTTGTTGAGGTTAGTTAATCTATGGGTTGAACATGTTATATCTCCAAAGCGTGGGTTCCTAAAATTATTCCAAGGTGAGTAGATGGACAGTATTACCCCCAAGGGAGTGTAATATCCTTTGGCCATGGTTTTTATATTGAATCATTGCATATACATCAGCCATTTATTGTCCAACATCAACGTCCTCTAAGATGGATGCTGGTGATGGACCGCAGTTTAGATGTATGTCCGCTAATTTACAAGGGTACTACAATTAATCTCCACCATCCATCCTTTATAATGGAAGTCAAATGACCCTCCAGTAGATCATTTAAGGTACAATTGAGTAAACATAATATAAGTCCCAATTACTATTTGCCCATTAGATGTTTTCCATTCACAATTACTATTGACCATTAGATGTTTCCTATTAGATATGAAATTGAGCTTTATAGCTCTCAAAATAATAT